CCCTGGGATCAGCGGAGCCGAGAGGCCTCAGGACCCTGGGAACAGGGGAGCCGAGAGGCCTCAGGACCCTGGGGTCAGCCAGCCGAGAGGCCTCAGGACCCTGGGATCAGCGGAGCCGAGAGGCCTCAGGACCCTGGGATCAGCGGAGCCGAGAGGCCTCAGGACCCTGGGAACAGGGGAGCCGAGAGGCCTCAGGACCCTGGGGTCAGCCAGCCGAGAGGCCTCAGGACCCCGGGATCAGCGGAGCCGAGAGGCCTCAGGACCCCGGGATCAGCGGAGCTGAGAGGCCCCAGCCCCGTTTATCAGCGGAGCTGAGAGGCCTCCGGGCCCCGTGATCAGCGGAGCCGAGAGGCCTCCCAGCCCTGGGATCAGCAGAGCCGAGAGGCCTCCCGGCCCCAGTTATCAGCGGAGCCGAGAGGCCTCCCAGCCCTGGGATCAGCAGAGCCGAGAGGCCTCCCGGCCCCAGTTATCAGCGTGACAGGGGGCAGCGACCAAACCCCTGATCGCCCTGCAGGCTCTGTGTGTGACAGGGGGGAGCTCCCCAACCCCCTAATGGGCCCTGCTCTGTGTGTGACAGGGTACGGAGCCCCAACCCCCCTGATGGGCCCTGCTCTGTGCGTGACAGGGGGTGGCGCCGCAACCTCCCCATCGACCCTGCCTTGAGTGTGACAGGGGGCGGTGCCCCAACTCCCCAATTGGCCGTGCTCTGAGCCCGACCAGGGGCTACACCTAGGGATTGGGCCTGCCCTCTGCCACCCGGGAGCAGGCCTAAGCCAGCAGGTCATTATCTCCCGAGGGGTCCCAGACTGCGAGAGGGCACAGGCCGGGCTGGGGGACCCTCCCTTCCCCCCGAGTGCACAAATTTTTGTGTACCGGGCCTCTAGTCCTATCTAATAATAGACAAATATGGCAATTAACCATATCTCTGCTATGCTTCCCATTGGCTAATCAGGGTGATATGCAAATTAACTGCCAACCAAGATGGCAGCCAGCAGCCATGCAGCTGAAGCAAACATGAGGCTTGGTTGCCCTGGCGATGGAGCAAGTCAAGGTTCCCTGCCTGCCGCGGCCCAGCTCTGAGCTCCGAATGCAACAATGTTGCAATTATAGAAGCTAAACAAACCCCAGATACCTGCTTTCAGCCAGCAGGCCTTGGAGCTGGAGCCGCAAAAAAGTTTCAATAACAAAAGGTAAATAAATCCCAGAATAAAAAAAAAAAAAGAGAGAGACTGGGAGCTTCAGTTGCAGGCTTGGCCTTCCTGAAAACAGCCCTCAGCCCCTCATCCAGACTGGCCAGGCACCCCAGTGGGGACCCCCACCCTGAAGGGGGTGCGGGCAGCCTGAAAACAGCCATCAGCCCCTCACCCAGGCTGGCCAGGCACCCAAGCGGGACCCCCACCCTGATTCGGGACACCCTTCGGAGCAAACCAGCCAGCCCCCACCTGTGCACCAGGCCTCTATCCTATATAGTAAAAGGGTAATATGCAAACTGACCCTAACAGCAGAATGACTGGTCACTATGACACACACTGACCACCAGGGGGCAGACGCTCAATGCAGGAGCTGGCCACTGGTGGTCAGTGCGCTCCCACAGGAGGAGCTCTGCTCAGCCACAAGCCAGGCTGCCGGCTGCCAGTACAGCGGTGGTGGTGGGAGCCTCTCCCGCCTCCTCAGCAGCACTAAGGATGTCAGAGTGCAGCTTAGGTCTGCTCCCCGCTGGCAAGTGGACATCCCCCGAGGGCTGCCGGGCTGCCAGAGGGATGTCTCATTGCCAGCTTAGACCCAATCCCCCGGGGAGCAGGCCTAAGCCAGCAGGTGGTCATCCTCCGAGGGGTCCCAGACTGTGAGAGGGCACAGGCCGGACTGAGGGATCCCCCTGCCCCAAGTGCACAAATTTTTGTGCACCAGGCCTCTAGTAAAAGTATAAAAATACATATATTCTGGAAATTAAAGTCTATTTTAGTAGGAATCTGATATGCTTTATATCAGATAAAACTCATTAGGAACATAACATTAACAATATTAGGCTTGTGAACTCTGTAATAATTAGCATGAAGAACCAGAGACCTCTCCTAAGAAGAAATAGAGACAGATTAAAAAAAAAAAAAAAAGGTTTAGGATGCCCTGGCTGGTGTTGCTCATTGGCTCATGCACTGAAGGTCATGGATTTGATGTCCAGTCAGGGGCATGTACCTGGGTTGTAGCTTCCCTCCCCAGCCAGTCAGGGTGCCTACGGGAGGCAACCAATCAATGTGTCTCTCACATCGATGTGTCTTTTTTTTTCTCTCTTTCCCCCTCCCTTCCTCCCTCCCTTCCACTCTCTAAAAATCAATGAAGAAAAGAATAGGTTTTAGGATGATTCTAAAGAAGAGCTAAGGGAAGCGAGGATCACCTATGGATTGTTTTTACAGTAATCTTTTTTTAGGAGGTGAGAGGGAAAAAGCAGGGCTGGGGAAGTCCTGGTAAGAAAGAAACAGTAAAAAAATAAAATTAAAACCCATGTAAATATTCACAATAGCCAAAGGGTAGAAGCAACCCAAGTATCCATTAATCGATAAATGGATAAATAAGATGTGGTATTTGTATATGTACATTGAAATATTATTCAGCCTTGAAAAGGCAGGAAATTCTGATGTATGCTACAACTTGGATGAACTTAAGGACATTGTGATAAGTAAAATAAGCCAGACACAAACGGACCAAAACTGTATGATTTCACTTATATGAGGTACCTGTGTAGTTAAATTAATAGGGATAAATAGAATGTCGGTGAACAGCACTGGGCAGAAATGGGGAGTTAGTATTGAATGGATATGAAGTTTCAATTTGGGAAGATAAAATTCTGAAGATGGATAGGGGTGATCGTTGCACAACAATAAGAACGTACTTAATGCCACTAAACTGCACACTTGAAAATGGCTAAAATGGGAAATTTTATGTGATGTATATTTTGGCCACAATTTAAAAAATGAAAGTAAAAAACTGAAAAAAAGAAAAAGATCTAGAGATCGCTTATTATAAGGGAGGGTTTGTGTGGCTGTGGCCATGTCCTGTTAGAAAAATTGTCATAGATTCTGTTAGGATCATTATAGCCTGACTACCCGCAGTGTTGAGATGCTGACTCAGGGTCTTGTTTCCCTAGAAAATACGAAGTTAAGATAAATGTGGAATGCTGGCCGAAGACTTTTTATCTGAATCTCTGCCCCTGGGTTGGCAATAGAAGCAGCTTCTCTGTGTCCAAGTGGCCTACATGGCTCAGCTTCTTTCAATAAGAGGTGTTCTGTTCTCACTGAAATAACAGCAAACAGCAGTTTCTCATTGTCTAGGATGTTAAAGAGCAAGCTTCCTTGGCCCTGTACACTTGATGTTAATTAACAAAAGCAGTTTTTATGGTTTCACAACAGTTTAAAAAAACACAACGAAGTCTCTTAGAGTGGCGTAGCTTTGAGATAAATTCCGTTAAGGAAAAGAGAAAGAAGCGATTGAGTCCACTGTGGGACGAGGCTGCTTTCAGATTCCAGGGCTCCATTTTCTTGAGTCTGTCCTCTCGCTTCTTCACACGGGTTTGATTTGTTAATTTGATGCATCCATTGCTCTGCTTTGGGGCATTACTATTTAAGATGACTAATCTAATGATATTACACACAAAAAAACCAGTAAACTGTAAATCTTACATTATAATGCCATTCACCTAAAAGTAGGCTACAAATGAATAAAAAGCTATAGCAAAACAATGTGACTCATCAGGCAATGCGGTTCCAACTAGACACATTCTGCTTAATGAAAGTCTTCACACTGTAATCTGTGCACACAATTTGATGACCCTTCAAAGAGAGTTTCTCTGAGCCTGGGCTGGTGGTGGGTTGGGTACAACCAAGGAGTTAAAGGTGAAATCCACTCTATTGTTACAGTCTCATAAGGCAACAAAGTTTCTCTCTCACCAAGCCAGCTCACCAGGTAGGAACCACTATGGGAAGGATCACAAGCTCTGTAATTAGTGGCAATACGACTTTCAGGAGAATATATAGAGGATACATACAATTCTAGGCTGAATCCCATGCTTGTGACAAAGTTGCACTCTGCACAGAATTTTGCTACTGAATAGCCAGCATTGAAGAGACTTGAAAGGGCCTGTTGGTGGCCATCTTTACTTGTGGAAATGATGGAGTAAATATAGTTTCATTAAAACCAAAGCAACCCTGGCCTGGTAGCTCAGCTGGTTAGAGCACCCTCCCAATAAGCCAATGTTGCCGGTGCCACGACGAGCCTGGAGCCTAAGGCAACGGTATTTCCCCCCCCCCCCCCCCCCGCCCCACCCCTCCATCTCTCTCTCTGTAAAAACAACAAAAAGCAAAGCAGATTACAGAGCAAATTTAGCAGTTTTTAGTTCTTTTTCATTTAATTTGCCGCCTGGATTCGTCATACAAAGTCTATTTAACTTTGAGAACTTGTAAGGGAGGAAGAGTCGTCATTACCAGAGATACCCAACAGCTGAACGAAACAGACACCATCTCTCTGGAAGAAACATGGACTAACTCTGCCAACGAAAGAAAGGACTTCCACAACTAATACGTATCAAACGAGAAAAATACCCAGTGCGCCTAGTGGAGGGGCAGTTAAGTAAAAAGAGGGGTGGGGGAGGGAGTGCGCGCACAAAAGCAAAGATATATTTGACCCTCCTAACCTACAAATAGATAACCAGGTCTTTTTTGACCCAACAACGTAAGGAAGTTCTTTGACAACTAGGCAGTTTGCAACTAATCCAAACTCAGGAAACGACTCTTCGAAACGAATAAACTTAGTTCTGAAAAAACAAGCGCGTCCAATAACCTCTGAAAACACGTGGCGGGGGCGGAGAAATCGGTCGCAATAACAGGCGAGACTCTAAATCCCATCATCCCATTCGGCAGTGAAGCCGGGCTGTTCAGGGGCGAGCCGGCGCCCTGGATGCTGGGACTTGAGGTTTTGGCTCCTGCGCCTCCCCGCGGGTTTGCGACGTTTAGCGACTACCGCGCCTGCGCCAGCGCCGGCTGAGGCTAGGGTAGCGGCTGCGCGTGCCGGGCGATGCTAGGCGGCTCCCTGCGCTCCGGGCTGTTGCGACGTGTGGGTGGGAGCCGCGGGCAGTTCGGGGCGCGGGGTGTCGGCGAAGGTGGCGCAGCCATGGCGGCGGGGGAGAGCATGGCCCAGCGGATGGTCTGGGTGGACCTGGAGGTGAGTGAGGTCGGTGTGGGTGCGGGCAGGCGAGTGCGGTTTGGTGTGAGCCTGTCCGGGGAGAGCGGCGGGGGTCTGGGTCTCGGAGGTGGCAGGTGAGTGCCTCCCGGGAGTGGGCGGCGCGGGGCAAGGCGGGGGGCAGGAGTTCTCCGGGTGTTGGGGTGTTGGGAACTCTGCTGGACTCTGGGGTTTCCTTTCAGAAGGGAGGAGTTATCCATATGGCTGCTCCCCCTCCCCCCGCCCCCCCAACTCGCTAAGTCCGGTCGCGTTGAGCTTAGGGTCACGGCCAGGGGTGGGGTGGGCCAGCGGCTCTGCTAGCCCCACTTCCCCAGCCTCGCGGGACCCTGGGTGGCTGGAGCTGGACGGGACTCCGGAGATGACTCAGCCTTCCCCTTCATCCCATAAACCAGGAAACTGAGGCCCCGAAAGAGGAGTCCGCTCAGTCCAGCCGGGCTGTGAGGGAGCAGCTGAGCTGGGAGGGGACCCCACTTTTGTTCCCTTGGGGTTTTCCACACTCCTGCCAAGCACATCCCCTTCCTTGCAGCCTGGGTTTTCTCAGATATGAAATGAGGATAATAACAGTACTTTTTCTACATTTGATTGCGATGAAGATCAAGCCGTGTAATCAGTACGAAAACTTTGTGAACTCTGCGGAGACGTGGCGATGTCGGTTATCTGACGCTGCCAGAATTGGATGCTGTCAGCACGCAGTGTTGCTTATTTTGCATCTGTCCTAGAGTAGAACCAGGCTGCCTGACACAGAGCAGGGTTTTGGTAAATGTGAATGAATAGACGACGAATATTGAATGCTTTGAGGGCTCGCCGGGGAGCGTCATTGTCTCTTCTATCTTGGCTGTGGGGTATGAATTGAGTTTGCCTGAGGGAATTCCTGTTAAATGAATTTGGGTAAAATAGTCCAGAAAGATGGTTTGTGTGTGTTATGTATAATAGATGTATATTTTTTATTCCAGATGACGGGATTGGACATTGAGAAGGACCAGATTATTGAGATGGCCTGTCTGATCACTGACTCTGATCTCAACATTTTGGCCGAAGTACGCAATGCCCCCTTATCCCTGCGTACTGTTTAGAGTATATTGGAGATCCAAAGATTGTTTTTCCCTATCTCTTTATTTAAAAAATAAGATTAAGGTACAGAGTAATGTGCTAGGTCATGCATGATAAGGTTGGTACTAGAATCAGAGTAATTCATCTCACAGCCTAATTATTTTTCAATAAGCCATGCCCCAAATTACAGAAACATAAATGTTACCATTTTCTGAGCACTTACTGTGTGCCAGGCACAACTCTCTAAGTGCTTTACATGGATTCACTCTTAATGGGGAGAATGATGATAAGGTAGGCACTGTTATACTCATTTTATGGAGGAGGACATGTTGGCACAGAGATGTTGGGTAATTTGCCCAAGGCCACCAGGCTAGTTACTGCAGGAGCCAGGGGTTTAACCCAGGCAGTCTGAATGACGTGCCCCTAACCAGTAAGACAACCAACTAACTATACAGTGCCACCAGGAGTGGTGACTCACGCCAAAGCTGACATCTTTCTATCATAACTTTAAATTTAACTTGACTCCATATGTCCAGGTTTTGCCTTTTCAACTAGGACATGTGATTTTTCTAGATCTGTATGAAGATTTTAGAGAAAATCTGTTGGTGCAGAATCATAAAACACTCTCTTGTTGACATTGGACGTGATTAAAGTTTTAACATGATGCCTTTAACCGAAACATTAAACAAAACAAAACACACTTGTTGCCTTTTGGGCACTCGTGAAACATTTAATAAGTGTGTGACAGCATCTGATTGGTAGAGGGTGAAATCCCTGGCGTGGAATAACTCTGTTTCCAGTTGTCAGCAATAATCAGAGGCAGTGAGAGACTAGAGTAGAAACACAGTAGCTATGTTTGTGGGGAAGAGAGTCTTGTTAAAATAAGTTCCCAGAGGGTACGGTTGATGTGTTACTGGCACTGGATAGGTTTAATAAATCTATAGTTAGGACTTAACTTTTCCTGGGTGGGGAAGAGGGGAGAAGGCACTTATAGAGGAATTGCTACTTTTGTAGAGCAGCAGGCATACATCCTGGAGTCCCCCCTAAGAGATCAGCTGCAGGAGAGGCATTAGATTGACTTTCTTCTTGTAACAACTAACTTTAAAAAAAACTTTAAATAAATAAATAACGTAATGTAAATAAATAAAGCCCCGAGGTTTAGGTTTGGTGGTTTTACCCTGCCACTTGGCATTTACGAGAGATGAATAGTGAAGAGAAGTGCCTGTACTTACCAGCCCTGCTTACCCCTGGCTGAAGGAGAGTTTCCCGTAGACTGTTGATATAATGTGAAATCCTGACAGTTTAATGGGCCGGTCGGTTGATGTGGACTCTGGAGGAAATTTGGGTCTGTTCCCCAGCTGCCGATGAGTGCGACATTTGTAAATAGACTCAGTCAGATGAGGATAAGGATGTTAAAAAAAAAATGCTTAGGGGCTGTTGGCACTAGAGGGTCAGTTCCGTGGAAAATAAGTCTTATTTTTGTATGAGAGTTTGAGGGAAAATGTCTTATGCTGGTAGAAGAACAAGTATCCTACTCTGGAAATTTTTCTGTGGGTGGCTTACTGGGGTCTGGACTAAGTTAGCCTTAGATTGATAGTAGTTTTTTCCATCAGAGTTTGTTAGAACTGTTTTTTACAATATAAGGTGTGTGTGTGTGTGTGTGTGTGTGTGTGTGTGTGTGTGTTTAAATGGTATCAGAGCACATTTTTTGCTTCATGGAGTTTACCATTACCAGTTTTCTTATTTGGTTAAAACTTGTTAGTTGTAGAAGTGAGGCATATTTTAGTCAAATTTTAGCCATTCCTTTCAGTGACTGCATACTATTTTTACCACCTTAGTAGTAGTAATACCTTGGATTTATAGTACTTTTCTTCTAGAGAGTTCAAAGAACTTTCAGCCTATAATTTCTTTTATCTTGTTAACATCCCTTTGAGGGAAGGGGGCCAGTTTATAGCTCCATTGTCCGGAAGGAGAAACCGAGGCCAGGTGACTTGCAGTGACGACCTAAGTCGGGCTGTTACTGCTGGGCCTCAGCCAAGACACTTGCAGTTGAATGTTCTATTACAGGGACTGAGAACTCACAGGCACTTTCTTTCTTTCTTTTTTTTTTTTTTTTTTAATATATTTTATTGATTTTTTTACAGAGAGGAAGGGAGAGGGATAGAAAGTTAGAAACATCGATGAGCGAGAAACATCCATTAGCTGCCTCCTGCATGCCCCCTACTGGGGATGTGCCCGCAGCCAACGTACATGCCCTTGACCAGAATCGAACCTGGGACCCTGGAGTCTGCAGGCCTACGCTCTATCCATTGAGCCAAACCGGTTAAGGCTCAAAGGCACTTTCATTTTTCAGTTGTAAACAGTTACCTTTTTAATACGAGAACATAGTTAAATAGTATAACTATCATACACACACACACACACACACACACACATATTAGGATATTGGTTTTTCTTTTTCTTTATTTCTTTTTAAAATCTTTATTGTTGAAAGTATTACATATGAAGATATTGGTTTTTCATCCTGTTCTTCTGCTCTATAATATTCCCCAAAGTTTATGTACTTTCTTGGTATTTTTCTTGGTATTTTGTGTGTGTATATGTATACACACACACACACACACACACACTATTTTTTAAACAACCGTAAGTGAAATCACATGCGTGTGTATGCTGTTCTGCAATTTTCTTTTTCAGTTAGCAATATAGACACTTCAAAATGAACTCATAATCAGGGGTTGGCAAGTTTTTTTTAAAGAAGACCAAATATTAAATATTTTAGGCTTACAGTGCCATATACCTCACTATTACCTTTTTGGTTGGTTGTTTTACAACTATTTACCAATGTAAAAAGCATTCTTAGCTTTTTGGCAATAAAGCAAAAAAAAGTCACAGGCTGAGCTATAGTTTGTTGACCCTTGATAGATAACTAGTTCTTCTCAGTAAGCAGTTGTTTCAGTTTGTGTGTGTGTGTGTGTGTGTGTGTGTGTGTGTTCATTGAGTCTATTTTGCCACTTTAAACAGTGCTGGAATGGATGTGAGGGCGATCTGGCTGCTACATCTGTCACCCCATTGATCGCCAGGGTTGATTCAGCTGATCTGGCTGGCTAGGCGGGTGTCCCTCTCCTCCCTCACCGATCCATGAAAAAAAAAAAATAAACAGTGCTGGAATGAATGAGGACCACTTTAGAGTTAACAGATAATTGTTACAGATAACAGTTAAAGACTGCCGTTCCTCTCTTACTTTCTCTGGTATATATATATTTAATCCTTAAGATAGTTTCAACTTAACCTCAGAAACCAAGGCGATCCCTGTTGATTCTGGATGACTAATGGCTTTTCCCATCCACAGGGTCCTAACCTGATTATAAAACAGCCAGATGAGTTACTGGACAGCATGTCAGATTGGTGCAAGGAGCATCACGGGAAGGTAACACTATCCAATAGCAGGATTCCTGCCCTGGGGATCAGTAGCAGCATCTGAATCCGATACCATTGGTGGACGGTATTGTAAGGCGGGTGAGCGGAAGATTGCTTGGCGAGCCTGGAAAGCCGCTTTTTTGTTTGCTTTCCACCTCTGGGACCTCTGGAGAGCATCTTCTCCGCAGGTCCTCTTTTTCCCTCTCCTGCATTCAGCCTGTCGCCACCACATTGTGGATTGCCAAGTATTGCGCAGATCAGTCTTTGGATAAGGTTAGACATCAACTTTCAGACAAGGGGGAATGCTGCTCTCCTGTTGATACAATCTCTTCCCAGAGATTATATCCTTGGACTTCAAGTAGCACCTTTGTTGACTGTGTGGAAATGCTACTAACTATCAGGAACATAGCTTGACTTGGATTCTTAAGAAAAAAATCTGTGCAAAGATAGCAGTTTCAGTTTAAACTTGAGCTTTATAAATGGTCTAAGTATTTGCTCATTTTAGAAGTGTCATTTGGATGCCTTTGAATACCGACTTCATGTGTTTTTGGTGGGGCGGGGATTCTCTCTTGCAGTCCGGTCTAACCAAAGCAGTGAAGGAGAGTACAGTGACATTGCAGCAGGCAGAGTATGAATTTCTGTCCTTTGTGCGACAGCAGACTCCTCCGGGGCTCTGTCCGCTCGCAGGTAAAGTTCAGTCCTTTGTGTGCCTTGTAGGTAGTCTTCCATTCTAGGAGCTCAAGAGACTGCCGTTCCAGAAAGATCAGCCAAGACCATCATGTCTTCCGCTTATCCTGATTTGGATTATGCATCTTACTTTCGTGTTTCAGTGTCCTTGTATAACTTATACATGAATATTGGGAACATGCCCTGAAACCTGATAAGAGGTCTGAGGTACAGATTAACTCAGTAAACATTTCCCCTGTATTTTTATTATGGAGAATTTTCAAATGTACAGAAAAGTTGGATTTAGGAATTGTTAACCTTAGGCCATGATTGTTTTACCTGTCTTTTTAAAAATATATTTTTTAAAATACATTTTAAAATATATTTATTGATTTCAGAGAGGAAGGGAGAGGGAGAGAGAGATAGAAACATCAATGGTGAGAAAGAATCATTGATGTGTTGCCTCCTGCACGCCCCCTCCTGGGGATTCAGCTGGCAACCTTGGCATGTGCCCTTGACTGCTTGACCGGAATTGAACCCGGGACCCTTAAGTCCCAGCTAGGGCTACCTGTCTATTTTTGTTGGACATTTAAAAGTAAATTGCAGCCCTGACCGCTTTGGCTCAGTGGATAGAGCATCGGCCTGCGGACTTAAGGGTCCCAGGTTCGATTCTGGTCAAGGGCACGTACCTCGGTTGCAGGCATATCCCCAGTAGGGGTTGTGCAGGAGGCAGCTGATTGATGTTTCTCTCTCATCAATGTTTCTAGCTCTCTATCCCTCTCCCTTCCTCTCTGTAAAAAAAAATCAATAAAATATATTTTTAAAAAAAGTAAATTGCAGGCACCATAATACTCTATTTCTAAATACTTCATCAAACATTTCCAATAAGTAAGGACATTTTCTTATGTAACCACAATAGCATTATCACATTAAGGTAATTAAAATTATTCAGTAACAGTTGCTATCTAGTCCACATCCAAAATGTCTGATTGTTTTTGAACCAGGATTTAATTAAGGCTCATGTATTTCATTTAGTTATTATGTCTCTTCTCTTAATCTAAAATGTCCACCTTTGTGTTTTTTCTTTGTGACACTCACTTTTTAAAGAAACAAAGCTAATTCTAGGTTTTTGAAAGCAATGCCTTGTCAGGGAAGTTAATGTTTTATGGAGATGTATTTGAATTTGTATATGTAAATTGATATAGTAACTGACATTTTTCTTAAACATTCACAAAAAAAGTTTTGACATTAAGTACTAGAGCATATATTGTATAAATTTCCCCTTTTGCCAATGGAGCTGATGTCTGTTTTACAGTTCTCATTTAAAATTTAGTGTTTTTAATATAAATTACTGTATGGAAACACGAATGATATGATTTGTTAAAATTGGAATGTAAATAAATGTTTCAACTTATGTGATTCATTAAAAGTTAAATTTTTAGTGTTAGTGGTGTGGATTTTGTGACACTGGGAGAAAATTTGCACATCTGGTTGATATAAAAAAGTAACAGATAGATTTGTGCATTGTTTTAAGTATGTGGAAGGATAGCTTTACCCTTTTGTCCAGATTTATCCTTTTGTTTACAAATTTGTGAGCTAGACTAACTAAATGCTCAGAATCTGCACTTGTAACCTAATCAGACACTCAAATCTTGAGGTGCTTTTAGGATTTGTTTGAATTAAAAAAATTATCTCCATTTCAAATATAGTTTATGAATTTTTATATCCTGTTGTATGCTACTAGAAATACATAGATGCGGTATACTTCGTGTCTTTCTAGGAAATTCAGTTCATGCAGATAAGAAGTTTCTTGACAAATACATGCCCCAGTTCATGAAACATCTTCATTATAGAATAATTGATGTGAGCACTGTTAAGGAACTGTGCAGGTAAGGGCTATATTGAGGAACCATTAAACTCTCATTTAGCATGTTTTTGTTTTTTTCTAAGGGTTTGTCTTTTTTAAAAAATATGTTTTTATTGATTTCAGAGAGGAAGGGGGAGAGAGATAGAAACATCAATGATGAGAGAGAACCATTGATTGGCTGCCTCCTGCACACCCTCTACTGGGGACCGAGCCTAAAACCTGGACACGTTCCCTGACTGGGAATCGAACCGTGACCTCCAGGTTCATGGGTCAGTGCTCAACCACTGAGCCACACTCTGGGCTCATTTAGCATGTTTAATTGAGGACTTGTGAAAAGTAATTGAATAGAGCTGTAAAACTTGGGATGCAAAGTGGACATTTAACTTCCTCAATCCGTAGTCACTTGGACCAGGACCTAAATTTATTCTGTGCTGGTGACAATTGGGGGAAACAATGTCAAAAATCTTCCATATAAGTTTCATTAATTCAGAAAATCGAGTACCCATTCTGTGCCACGTGTTGGCTGATGTACCGGGGACATATATATAGATGAAAAGCCCTTAAGTAGCTTAGAATTTAATGAGTTGACAGATGTGTAAAAAATTCACCCTAAAAATACACCGTTGGTGACTTCTCTAATGGAAATGTGCGTACAGAACATTGAAGGCCCCAGGGCAGGGGCCTCTAAGTGCTGGAGTGAGGGGACTGGGAAAACTAGGGGCAATGGCTTTTCAAGTTGAGATTTAAAGAAGAGTAGAAATTTTCTAGGTATCGAGGAGGGGCATTGTAGAGAACGGGAGGAGGTATAAAGATATGAGGGAGCAGGAAGATAAGGACAACAAAGTTTAAAGAATTGCAAATAGTTCATGAATGCTGGAGTGCAAAGCTCAAGGCTGGGGAAAGTAGGAGATGAGGTCCCATTAGGAAGGGCTGGTATGCCATGCTGAGGAGGTTGGAATTCTCTTGTAAGGGATGGGATTCCTTTGAAATGTTTAGAGCTGTGGTTCTCAACCTTCCTAATGCCGCCACCCTTTAATACAGTTCCTCATGTTGTGGTGACCCCCAATTTCATTGTTACAAATTGAACGTAATTAAAGCATAGTGATTAATCACAAAAACAATATGTAATTATATATGTGTTTTCCGATGGTCTTAGGCGACCCCTGTGAAAGGGTCGTTCGACCCCCAAAGGGGTCTCGACCCACAGGTTGAGAACCGCTGGTTTAGAGGAATGAGTGATGTGATTAGATCATAGTGATTAGATGGTGGCAAGAAAAGGTAGGGAGATAAGAAAGGAGACTTGTATCATCTTGGAGAGAAGAATGAGCTAGGGAAATGACACTTGGGTGCTAGAGAGGGTAGGGAATAAAGTATTTGAGGAAGTCATTTGGCTGGCATTGAATGTTTGAATGGGGGAGTGAGGAGAAGGAAGAGATGTAAGAAGATTCTAGTGTTTCTAGTTTGGCAGCTAGGTAGATGTTCAGAGATACAGAGGAAAGTAGGAGAAAGTGGCTTTGGTAGATGGGGGAAGGGAGATCTTGAGGAGGCTGGGTGTGGTTATATATAGTTGAGTTGTAAGTGTCTGGTGGATTTTTAGATGTTGTCTGCAGCGGTCAGTTGGACATCCAAGACAAACTCCGGAGAGCGCAGATGCAGGAGTCTTAGGCATTGATGAGCTTGCCCAAAGAGTACAGAGACTGAAGAGAGGAGAGGGTGGGAGATAGGCCCAGGCAAGGAGGCAACTTGATAGTCACAACCCAAATGCCTTTTTCAGTTAATAAGATGCTTGAGTGACTCAGTATATTTGAGACGCCTTTGAGAGTTCCATTTTTGCTGTGTAGACGCTGGTATCCAGAAGAATATGAATTTGCACCCAAGAAGGCTGCTTCTCACAGGTAAGTTTGCCTTCCGCTGCGTAGCAATCGGGCATGCCAGATGCCTGGCTGCATTAAATAATGTCTCTTCCCCACTCCTTTTCCTTGGGGGAAAATAAAGGACAACTCACATAAGAAGAACTTCCTTTTGCTAAGACCAGCAGAAATTCTGGCCAGGATTCTAGCATCCCATCTATATATATTAAAGGCTAAGTGACTGACCGGCATGTACATATGACACACACTGCCTACCAGGGAACAGATGCTCAACGCAGGGGACTTGGCAGTGGCGGTTCTCAGGTGACGCACCCCAGAGCCAGAGAGGAGGGAGTCTGATTCCTCGTGGGGCTGTGCAGTTCCATCTTTGGCCATGGGTTATGTTGTTGCTGTGGCACTGTCGGCCCTGAATCTGGTTTACTGCTGAGGTGCGGTGACTTGGCAGCGGAGGTTCTCGGGTGATGCACCCCGGAACCAGAGAGGAGGGAGCCCGATTCCTTGCGGGGCTGCGTGATTCCACCTTTGGCCGTGGGTTATGTTGAGAAAGGGCGAATAGTGATATTAAAATATTTCTTCTAATTAATTTCCTTTCAATGGGCATGAATCTGTGCACCGGGCCACTAGTTCTGAGTTATATAGGGTCTTATGTCATATATATACGTATATATACATATATACGTATATATATGTTTTTATTGATTTCAGAGAGAAAGAAAGAGATAGAAACATCAATGATGAGAGAGAATCATTGATCGACTACCTCCTGCACACCTGCCCGTTCCAAACGGGATTGAGCCAGCAACCCAGGCATGTGCCCTAACTGGGAATTGAACTGTGACCTCCTGGTTCATAGGTTGATGCTCAACCACTGAGCCACACCAACTGGGCGGGTCTTAAGTCTTTATTGCAGTTTTAAAAATTTTAGATACCTTAGCCTGTAGGTATGTGAAACTGTCTAATTTTTCTAGTCATAAGCAGTATTAATTTCCTTCCCAGCAAGACTATAGACTTGTAGCCATTTAAAATTAGAACACTTTGTGTATCTAACTTTGACACTTTAGTTTTTCAGATTGTTTCTTTTATGTTTGCAGCTTTAGGAACAAGTACATAAGGAACTTAAAGATCTTATGTATTTAGTGTCCTCTTTTACTTTTTGATTTCTGTAATCTTTCAGGAGGAACATACACCTTAGTGGGGGATATAGCAGCTGGCTTAAGGCAGCATTTGGTTCATCCATTTACTGTGCTCCTACTCTGTGCCAGGAACAGTTATAGGCAAACATAGAAAAACAAAGTCCCTGCTCTAAAGAGTCTGGCATTCTTAGGGTTTTTTTTTTGTTTTCTTTGATTGGACTTGCATGGACTACAGCACAGTAATACATGGGGAGAATATTTTATCTGAAATAAATGGGGCTTGATGTGTTTCAGAATTTTTCAGGTTTTAGAGAGGTAATAGTACGTCTGTAGTGATTATTATGTAATACTCCTAATGGTCTGGGGAAGCACCGCATAATCACAGACATCGATACTTCTGCAGTGAAATATATGGGCATTCGCATCAAGTGGCATTGCTGGTGACTATAAGTAGCCTCACATCAAGACTGGTCAGGTTTTACCACATTCTGGATTATGAAAGTGCTTTGGGTTTTCAGATCTCTCTTGGATTTCAGTATTGTGGATAGGGTGTTGTGCACCTTGATTTAGCCAGAGACTATTTATATATATATATATACACACACACACACACACACACACACACACACACACACACATATATATGTGTGTGTGTGTGTGTGTATGTATATGTATATGTATATATATAAATAATTTTATTGATTTCAGAAAGGAAGAGGGAGAGAGAAACATCAATGATGGGAGACAATTATTGATCAGATGCCTCCTGCAAGCCCCATACTGGGAATTGAGCCCACAACCTGGGCATGTGCCCTGATCGAGAATCAAACCATGACCTCGTTCATAGGTTTGATGCTCAACCACTGAACCACGTTGGCCAGGCCAGAGGTGGTATTTTTTATAGTTTTAGCTCTCTACCACATATCTAGGACCTGGGAAGAAAGCAAAATTGTTGCCATACCACAGGAATCATTGAAGTTGGTGCAGTCTATTCTCTAGAAGAGACCCGTGGCCCATCGTTCTGCGCTTACTGATTTACCTGTTTTATAATGCTGGTACCTGATTTCTCAGACCGTGACAGATGAGAAGCAGCTGTTGGAGGAGAAGAGCGGCGGTTAGATGGAGGCAGGCCGCCCCTGGTTATGGCACAAACCCTCACAGAGAGGAGTAGATCCTCCTCTATGCGGTCTGACAGTCGATGGTTATTGTGTGATTGAGTCACCAGTCATGCTCCAGGGTGTTGGTGTGCTTACTGCGGGCCGTCACTAAGTGTTGCCCATTGTCTCCCGGACTGTGCTTCATGAGTTGTTAATGTTTCTTCTCCAAAATAAAACATATTTTGTTACTGATTTCAGCGAGGAAGGGAGAGGGAGGGAGGGAGAGAGGGAGAGAGAGAGAGGGAGAGAGAGAGAGAGAGGGAGGAAGGAGAGAAATATCAGCGATGGGAGAGAATCATTGATTGGCTGCCACCTGCACTTGGCGGTGCCTGCAACCCGGGCATGTGCTCTGATCGGCCTGGAATCGAACTGTGACTCTTGGTTCATAGGTTGACGCTCAACCTCTGAGTCACACCAGCCAGCTGAGCTGTTTATTTTTCCACAAATGTGGTCACTTAAGTTTTAGAAATACTGTGTATAGTACAACCTTTTCTTGGCAATTCACAGTACACGTTGTGCATTAAATGCTTTGCAAAGGATTTCAGAAAGGAAATTTTTTTTTTAAAATATATTTTACTGATTTTCCACAGAGAGGAAGGGAGAGAGATAGTTAGAAACATCGATGAGAGAGAAACATCGACCAGCCGCCTCCTGCACACCCCCCACTGGGGACGTGCCCGCAACCCAAGCACATGCCCTCGACCGGAATTCGAACCTGGGCCGACGCTCCATCCACTGAGCCAAACCGGCTTCGGCCAAAAAGGAAATTTTTAATCTAGTTTTTCGTAAGCTTATTTGAGCCTGGAATTCTTTTTTTCTGTGGAATACATCACCATCTTATGGAATTGTTTTTGGGAGACTAATGTCATATATTAGATTTTTTAAAAAAACATTTTAGAAAAGCACTTACATATGCTTTACTGAAATGTTCCAGTTTTTTTTTTAAGATTTTTTTTTCTTGATTTTTTTAGGAAGAAGGGAGAGAGAGATAGAAACATCAATGAGAGAGATACATCCATGGGCTGTGAGAGAGACACATCTATCGCTGCCTCCTGCACGCCCCCTACTGGGGATACAGCCCGCAGTCTGGGTATGTGCCCTTGACCAGGAATCAGCAACCTTTCCATGCATGGGACGATGCCCACCCAACCAACCGAGCCACAGCTGCCAGGCAGAATATTCCCGTGTTTGATGTCAGCTGGTGGCCTGTTCTTAAGTTATTAATACGAAGCTGTGCATTGTAAAGTGACCATTGTCTCTGCTCTGGGGCACTTCAACTCAGTATAGTATGTTTGCTTGTAGGGCACTTGATGACATTAGCGAAAGCATCAGAGAACTTCAGTTTTACCGAAATAACATCTTCAAGAAAAAAACAGATGAAAAGAAGAGGAAAATTATGGAAAATGGGGAGAACGAGAAGACTGTGAGTTGATGCCAGTGTTCGTGCTGCCACCACGGTTCTCTGGAGCAGCTGCTGGTGGTTTTGTTCACGCGGAGGCTTGGCAGAGCACCTTCTCTCAGTTAACCCGCAGCTCCCGGTTGTGCAAGCAGACAGCACCTGAAATACTACTTTTCTCCTAACATGCCGTTTTCATTTATGACACAGCAGCACCTTTGTAAGTACCAGGTCTTGTCCACCCCTTGGTACAAATCTGCATTTGCTTTTAGACCATTTCTTTTGTTTTGTTTTTTTAAAAGAATAAATCTAGTTCTATTGAAATGCAAACCTTTGTGTCCCATCTATTTTTTAGTAGTTTAATCATTAATAAACGATGACCCTTTCTTTCTTTTTAACTGGTGTGGCTAATGTTTAAGTCCTCATAGTGCCATTAGGGACAGATTAAGTTTCTTAAGGGAAACAAGAAGGGAACTTGTTCTGCTTTGCTTTACAAGTCTAGAATAGAACAACTTGAAGTAGATTCAGAGAAGCAGATTTGGGTTCATTGTTACAGTTATCGGATTAACAGAGGCTTGGAATAGCTGCTCTTCACTATATTCAAGAAATTCAAGTAAGTAATCCGACAGGGATTCTCTAGGTAATAACTCAGGTTTATTGAGTAAATACTATGTGCATGGCTATCATTCTGCTATATTTATAGAACGCAAATATGTATAGGTGGCTGCCCTAGGTCTGATGGTCAGTAAGTATTTGAGAAGGGATTTCGGTTTGAATATCTTAACTCCTAAGAGCCTAGTACTAAAGTGATTCCTTAGCCGGAGTGTCCATTAGAACCATGTAGAACACGTCTCATTTCTCCTTAAGAAATCAGATTTGGGAAAGGCCCGCAGGTGACCTGTGTTTCCTAGAGGTCCATTGGACTGGAAGACTTGAGTAGAGATCTCCAGTTCCATTCCAACTTGATGATGGCCACTGTGTGAGTGAACATAGCAGTGGGACCCTACTGTGGAAGAGTTACACGGAAATCGCTCGATGGCACACCAGAATTCTCTCCCAGTTTCATTTCCTAAGCTGTTTTACTTACAGGGCAGCCACAGGAGTGGAGAGAGGTTTTAGTGTAACTTTTCCCAAATGTGTAATTTCAGGCCCAGTTCACAAGTGTATGTGTGAAGTGATGAAAACAGAAGTCTGCTGACTTCTCTGGCCGTTTGCAATGGCCTGGGCTTCAGCCCCTGTCCCGACGTCAGCGTTTTGGAAGACAGGATTGTGTAATCGTTGAGAAGCGGGCTCGCAGTCAGACTGGGCTCACACCGAGCTCCGGGACATGCAGAGTCACTTTGGCGAGTTCACTTTTCTGAGCCTCAGTTTTCTTTTTTTTTAATATGTTTTATTGGTTTTTTACAGAGAGGAAGGGGGAGGGATAGAGAGCCAGAAACGTCGATGAGAGAGAAACATCGATCAGCTGCCTCCTGCACACTCCCCACTGGGATGTGCCGCAACCAAGATACATGCCATTGACCGGAATCGAACCTGGGACCCTTGAGTCCGCCGGCCGACGCTCTATCCACTGAGCCAAACCGGTCAGGGCAAGCCTCAGTTTTCTTATCTGTGCAATGAGAATGAATGGTTAGAAGTAAATGAAATGCTGCTCCCAGTAGTGTAGTGCTGAGCCCCGTGCCTGGCACAGTGAGCGCCCCTGGAGATAGCTAACGCGTCATGGTAATGGCTGGTCTCAGGCCAGCACCTCTGCGAGAGGGGCTGTGCTGGCCGGGGCGTTGCCTCGGTCAGGGGCCACTCCATGCCTGTGACTGCATGATGCTGAGGACTGTTATGAACTTCACTAACAGTGTGACTTTGATGGGCTTAGTGCTTCTCACTAAAATTTGGCAGGATAGTCTTTGTCCTTAGTTGACTCTCAGGAATGCTATAAATTGTAATGTAAGAAAAGATGAAAACACTGGGCTTGCGAAAGAGGTTCACAGGAAGCAGATACTGCTGTAATTGCTGTAGGATTTCTCCCACGTAGCTGGCCTGTGTGCCATGTTAACTGAGCCCTGCCATTTAGTTTTCTGTCTTTTTTTTTTTTTTAAATCCTGACCTGGGGATATTTTTCCCATTGATTGCTTAGAGTGGAAAGAAGGAAGGGAGGGAGGGAGGGAGAGAGAGAAACATTGATGTGATCGATTGGTTGCCTCCTGCACGGGCCCCGACTGGCCAACTGGGGCCGGGGATTGAACCTGCAACCCAGGTACGTGCTCTTGATTGGGAATCAAACCTGCGACCTTTTGGTGTGTGAGCGACACTCTAACCACTGAGCAACACTGGCCAGGGCCCATTTAGTTTTCTTACGAGTTTTAACTTCTGGTGTTCAATTTAAATCTTGTGTCACGTGAATGGCCAGTTGATTTAAGCTTCTGTTTGGTATCTTCATTACATAGCAGAATTCTCCGTTACCCCTAATGGAGCATGTTCATTTTTAGTGAAATAATTGATAGCTGTGAGAGAAGCCAGTCTGGTCTGATGCAAGTCTGTGTGAAGACATGATGGTTCAGTGGTTAGTCCATTATTCATTAGTTTGCTTACAAATAAATATCCATTTGTAGTGCAGGTAACTATGATTTCACAGGGATTCCTGAAGCTATGAAGTAATTTCTGTGAAATGAACTGCAATGCAAATTGGTTTAAATATATCTGCAGCCTTAAAAATGATCAGTGTTTGTTTAGCAGAGTTGGCCAATCCAGTGCTCCCGGGGGCTGTTCAGTTAGTGGTTCCTTCTGTCTGTGCTGTAATTATCCTGCAAGCTCTATTCTTAGGATCACCCAGGATGTTTCCCTGCCTGCACGCAGGAGCTGCGTCTGCTGTGGTGAGTCTCAGTGTTCCTCCAGAGCTCATGATTGCCTAGCCCCGTGATGGCAAACCTTTTGAGCTCGGCGTGTCAGCATTTTGAAAAACCCTAACTTAACTCTGGTGCCGTGTCACGTATAGAAATTTTTTGATATTTGCAACCATAGTAAAACAAAGACTTATATTTTTGATACTTATTTTATATATTTAAATGCCATTTAACAAAGAAAAATCAACCAAAAAAATGAATTCGCGTGTCACCTCTGACACGCGTGTCATAGGTTTGCCATCACTGGCCTAGCCATTGTACTGAGTGCCTGGGCAGGAAGGACTCCCTCCTTCAGCAGCTTCGCCAGGGGAGATAGGAACGGAACCTGAGACACCTGTTATTTTTTGTTTACCAGACAATATATTCCTTTATTAATAAACCAGCTGACAAATTCATGGGGAAATTTATAGTTTCCTTTGGCAGAACTAGTGTTCTTATATGTGCAAGTCTTAAAAAAATAAATAATAGCTTGTCATAGTGTTGAAGTTCAATTTTGTCATTAAATAAAATTTGACACATTGATTGCCTTGTGACAGTTCACGAAAGTCCTAGTACACTCCAGCAAGGACAGTAGCAGCAAATGGGCTGTGGCTAGGGTAAGACATCTGAATCAGATTAATGAGAATAAAGCTATTATATTACCATATGTCTATTGATGAGGCAAAAGCTATTATGCTACCTATTGATACTGTGTTTCTGTTGTCAGAATGAATTGATTTTAGTTATTTGAGCAAAGCTTTTAATTTTATGCGGGTCTTTGTTTTGGGGTTTTTTTTTTACCTTTTGAGTCCCTCTTTATGTGGCTCCTGATAAAACCATTGCCATGCTGGTAAAAGAGTTCCTCCCTCGTTGAGTATTTTCTGTTGAAAAGAAGAGTTTTCTATGAGGGTGGGTCTTAAACGTTCTCAACACATACACACACGCACCATACTAGGGTAACTATGGATAGATTTTTTAGCTTGATGGTGAATTTTTCCCCTGCATTGTATACATTTACATAAAATCATTAAGTTGTATACTTTAAACATATTTCTGTATGTCAAAGATATCTCAATAAAGTTGTTAACATGTGTTTCAAACACTACTAACAAGAAGGGAGTAAAAATTTTCATTTTACTAGAATGCAGGCAGCTATAATAGTTGCTTTCATAATTGAGTTGTCAAGTTGAATGCATAGACTTAACTTGGTCTTCAGGATGATTTAATTCATTTAGTTTTGTGCGTGGGTTATAATACCACTGATAATCTATGATGCAGAAAACAAAAGTCTCTCATTTGGAATAAGCCCTAAGAGAATGAGAAGATTGGGGAGTGGGGAGCAAAAATATGTTCTTGTGCAAATGAAAACATACCATGAACAGCCTACAGAATCCTTGGGGACCCAGAGTAAGTTGCATAATTTGGGTTGCACAACAATATGAGGAGGAAAAACCAAGGAATTTAAAGCATTCCTAGAATCTTTTGATTCCCAATATGTAATAGAAGGAAGTGGGCAATTTAGGGCATTGTTGTCTACTGTGTCAGCTTAAAGTGGTATAAGGAACTGCTGGTTTGGTCTACAAAGGAAATTAGACAAATTACTATCCTTTGGGAGCATCTCATCTCCTTGTTTCTAAATTTAGCCATCTCTGTTGGGACAGAGATGATTTTTAATTCTGAGTTAGGGATATTTCTTGGATAATCTAGGTTCACAGGCTCATGCATACTGCCCTGGAACCCAGCCCTGTTTTGTTTCTGTGAAAAACCTTACTCATTTTGCATTCCATCTCACCAGCTCACAACTTATATTGAACAATAGAATTCATTGTTGAATTGGAGGCTATATATAGTTTTATACTTTCATTCATCTTGGTTGTGTGCTCTTTGTTTAAATTATTTTTTTCTTTTTAAAATGTTTTTGTTGATTTCAGAGAGAGGAAAGGAGAGGAAGAGAGAGATAGAAACATCAATGATGAGAGAGAATCGTTGAAGCCGCAACCTGGGTATGTGCCCGAGAATTGGACCTGGCATGGCCTCAACTCTGGCCAGCCTCATTCATTTTTCTTCTTTCTTTTTCTTTTTTTAAAAATATATTTTATTGATTTTTTTACAGAGAGGAAGGGAGAGGGATAGAGAGTTAGAAACATTGATGAGAAAGAAACATCGATCAGCTGCCTCCTGCACACCCTCTACTGGGCATGTGCCCGCAACCAAGGTACATGCCCTTGACCGGAATCGAACCTGGGACCCTTCAGTCCGCAGGCTGATGCTCTATCCACTGAGCCAAACCGGTTAGGGCTCATTTATTTTTCTTATACACACTCTTGTCTTTACCATTCTAGGGATTCTAAAGTACTTTAATATATCTTTCTGCTTCCTTATTTTGTCTTTAGAGTCTTATGAAATAGGTTGACATGATAGCCCAATCATTTAAAAAAATTTTATTTTTTATTA